TTGTATAGGGTTACAAGAGCTGGGCAAGCTTTTAAAGAGGATGAATGACAAGTGGTAATTGCATTGCAGAAATAGTTCAGAAAATAATTAACCTTAAGCAGTGGAGTGTACAGGCCAGGTAATTAATGGGCATTAATAGTTAGACAAGATGATAAATGTGCGTGGCAGCTATAAGCAACATGAAGAGATTCCTGAATGAAGTGTAAATTAAGAAAATGAAGTCTAAAATTACCTTCATTTTGTTGCTGTTCATCTTCGTCCATCTTTTTGGGCTTTGCAAACATGTGATCACTTAGCTCTTTTGGAATTCTTGGGGTAACAAAAAAATTTGTTTGATTAAACACATATCAATATGGCACTAATACTAATACTGCAGTAAATCGGTACTAATAAACAATATATTTTTATGCTTGAAAAGAAAGCAAAAATATAAAACACTTGGTAAGGTTATTTTTGTCCGTTCCCCCCCCCACCGCATATCAACAACCCTATCAAATTCCCAATACTAACAATATTTCAAACATACTTAATTCTAGGAAACCACAGCTTTCAACAGCATACAATAGATCCCAAGCACATACCACAGCCAGAAATTCTTCAGCACAAGCTCCTAAAACATATGAGGTGTTAAAAGTATATGACCACATGTAGAAACTGGCATGCTCAACGATTCCTCTGCACACTTCTATATACCGCAGCACATTTCTAGCCAACTTTGCATCCAGTGACCCCTATCACTAAGATGGAAAAAAAACAAAAAAAAAAAACACACTACTTGTCTGTCCAGCAAATGGGTATTGGAATATTCACTCCTTTCGAGAGCTATTACTGCCACAGCTACCAATCACCTCTAGGAGTGTTGAATAGCAAAAGCCCCAATGGATGCTGTGGTTCCTTCCACTGACCACTAAGGTCACTACTGTGTCTTGTGCACCGTAGCGTAGATCAGGGGATGTGCAGACATACATAGCGTATCCGTCTGCTGAACAAATACATTTTTTTATTCTACTGAAAGAGTAGGGAACCGGGAAAGTTGGCATCTAGTTCTTTGAATGAGCAGTGGAGAATCTGTCATTCAGCTGCTCCTCCTCCATTCACAGAACATGATGCATTGTGGAATGATAGTAAATCAAACTCACTGCAGCCTCTCACAGCACAGCTGAATACAATATCCGGTGGCTGAGGTGAAGATTTTTACAAGAAGCATCAGCTGCAGGTAATGGAACACACAACGTTGCATATATCTAATGTAGTTGGTGCTGTATCGCCAAAACAAAAACTAAAAACTTTAGCTTGAAGCCATTCAAACCTAGAATAAATCATAAAAAAGTACCAGAACTAAACGGCATTTAAAACTTTCATTGAGCAAACAGTAGAAGATTTGGGGTTTTGATAATTTGGGGTGCTTGTATATAGTAGCCCTAATATGTGGAATAATAGTAGCAGCATAAGTCTATTATTTGACTTCTGCATCTTAGTGCCAAAACTAGAGCTGAATTTGGAGAAAACAAATTGCAGACTTTAACCTTACTGTAGGATAGGATCATTACGACAAACCTAAGCTGCTAAAGTGCTAATAACTTGCTGTGCCTAGAAGTACCCATGTTAGACTTCAAACCAATCCATGTCCAGTCTACAGCCCCTTGAAGACTAGCTCTACATGGGGCATCAATTTCTGCCAAGTCTAAGGGGGTTATTCACAAATGAGCCGAAGGATCCAGACATAGCTTCGGCTGATCTATTGACTCACTTCGGCCGCAGGACAGCTTCAGTTCAGTCGAACCGAAAGGCTGCTGTATGGGCTATTCAGTATAGTCCATACAGCAGCTGAGCCGGATCCATATGCTTCGGCTCGGCTGAGCTGTAGGTGACAGGCAAAGCGTAGAGAAAGGTCGGCCGAAGCCGAATGATCTCTGCGCAAATGACATGGGCAGAGCCCATGTGATGTCGCGACTCGCTCCGCCCAGTTGTAATGACAGATCAGCGTCTCCATTTTTCTTTTCTTCACAATATTTTTTTTTAATTTTCGTATTTTCTTAAATTTTATTAAAGACTTTTTAAACTAATTTAAATTTTTTTCTATTATGCTTGCTACCTCGCTTGGCGGCATTCAGCTACTCACTCACTGCCGTTCAGCTCCTATGAGAATATGGGCGAACAGTAGCGAGTGAGCTGCCGGAGCTTCGGATCAGCCGATCCAGATGCTGGATCGGCTGAGTGGAACTCCTTCTGCACTTGGGCTGACCGAAGGCAGCCAATGTACAGCTGATTTCAGCCGATGTAACGCTGAAATCAGCCGTACAGGGCTGAAGTGAATAGCTGAACAGGGTTCAGCTTATTTCACTTCGGCTCAGTTATTCACTTGGCTGCGTGGGACATGAGCGAAGAGGAGGACAGAGGAGTCAGCGCTGGATCGGAGACCCGCACCAGCGCTGGAGGGACAGGTAAAAACTACAGGAAAGAAGATCGGATTAAGAGTCATCATTTAAGGTAAGTCCTTAAAAGGAGAACTATGGGGTTAAGGCTTTTCACCATAGTTCTCCTTAGGGTAACGGGAGGACACAAACTAGCGTCCTCCCGTCACCCTAAGCTCAGTATACTGCGAGCTACAGCTCGCGGTATACCGAGATGCCGCAGTATAATGAGACACCGCAGCTGAAGCGGATCCCGACAATTATGTCTGGATCCGCCCAGCTGTGTGAGTGACAGCTGGCTCTGCCCATCTAGAGGCAGAGCCAGCTGTACCCGCCCCCTCCCCCGTCCGTTCCGCCAGTCAGTGCTGGAGGATCGGAGCGGGGAGGTGGGAATCCAGCCACACCCGTCACGGCAGAGAGCCGTGACAGGATCGAGAGGTGAGCGAACACCGGTATGACTTCCCGATCTACTGAGCCGACCTGTGGCAGTCTCATTGTCACAGGTTGGCTAGAACTATGAGGCGAGTGAAAAGCACTCACCTCATAGTTCTCCTTTAATTTAGCACGGTGGAGGGGGAAGGGGGGACACTTTAGCTTTTAATGTCACTTTAAACTTCAGCAGTCTTTGCGGTCTTGTCAGGTGCACATCAAAAAGTCAATAATAGCCAACGCTAAGCCTTCCATTTGTTTAGATACAGCTATAGATGTAGAATAAAATTTTGTACAGTTGAAAATAAAAATGTTAATCTCTAAAACAAGATAGTTCAGCCACAGCAACATCCATTCCATTCTACATTGCTGATTTTCAGAACAGTTTAGTCTACAACTGTGCAAAGCTCCCACTTGATAAAATGTAAAAAAATAAATACAATAATTTACTATCCAGTTATTTTTCTCATTTATTTTGCATTGAACATCTTGTTCCATGTATATTACTTTTTAACCAGTACTAATGTCTTAAGTATACCCTTCCTTTTAGCATATCAAAAAAAATAAAATGTGCCAACATTTCATTAGCCGATGTCTTGAAGCAGACCTATTGGCTCCTGTCCCATGACATCTCAACATGTGGTGCTAGTTTTAACCTCTTGCACAACAAGTGCTAACAAGAGAAATATTACTTATTCATTGGAGAACTGGCTAGTCCTCAAGCAAGCAGTGAATAATTAGATATAATAAAGTCTAACTATATTGTATACCTCTAAAACCCTCTTTGGATTCCCACCATATAATCTACTCATTCACAGGGGAAGGAATTGCATTGCAAACAGTTCCTAAAATGTATAAAGACTAGCCAAAAATGTACTAAAAATCAGGGATTTTAAGGTCACTGGATCATTGGCTATGCAATGTGGCAAATGTGTAAATCGCAAGACTAACAGCATTACAATTTGTTTCGAATAAGTGGTTTAAAACAAACAGTTTGCATGCATTTATTGGCTTGCCTTTAATCCTGTATAGTTGAAATGTCAGGTTAGTATAAAGTAATCCATCTAACCAATAATCATTTTCTGATTACATTACCTTAAAGCAGAGAATCTTTTTGCTTTGGCTTTATCAAGGAACTTTTTGTACTTTGCTATTCTGTCATCCAAATCTTTCAACAGCGTTTTTGAACTTTCTTTTTCAGCCTGTTGTGGATTTGTGAGCTCTGTACTGTTGTCTTTGTGTACAGTGTTCGTAAGTTGATCTTCCTTTTCCTCTCCCGACAGCTCTTCCTCCTCTAAAGAATCTAGGTCTGAAATGTCCGACATGCCATCTACTTCTACAGGCACCAAGTCCTCCTGGAAAAACTCAGATGCCACTTTGATCTTGCCAAAATTCTGTCGCACTTGTGAAAGGATTTCTTTTATTTCTCTCTTTTCTTTGAGTGCGTCCTCCGGTGCATCTGAAACTATGCTTTCATTGTCAGATATCTCATCTTCTACAACATTCTCTGTTGAAGTTGTTTGGGATATCTGTGAAGTCTAGCATATGAGGAAGACATGGAAATCAAGCTGTATAATTAAGGTATTAAAGCAAACGCATTAATATTGGCTCTGGTGATATAGTCCTTAAGTTCATCACGAAGCCCATTACCACAGGATGACAAATCGCATAAAACTATTAACCACTTCCTGCGGGTTCATGTAACTGTACGTCACCCGCCTGAAGTGGTTATGCTGCAGCCATGTTCTTTGTACCGTTTTAAACAGCCAGCGATTGCCGTTTAAATACAAGCGATCCGGCGTCTATACAGATGCCGGATCGCTTGTACGGTGCGGTGCGTCTCCGCCGCCAGTTTCCCCGGCTCACCTGTCCCTTGTGTGAGCTCGGGACCGGTGTGGAGAGACTTCCAGCCGCTAATCATTCCTCCGATACTAGACCCGGAAGTTATGTGCATTACATCACTTCTGGTGTCACTGGGCACATTCTCTTGCTCCTCGAGTCAGAAGAAGCAGGTCTCTGCCTCATCAGCTTCTTTGGGGTCACAAAGTGACATTAGGGGTCTTAAAGACCCCCTATGCAATAGCAATACAACGGTGTAAA